AAACAATTAAATATTTAATTACCAATTGCTTAATACTGGCAGACAATCATCTGACCCATAGGTGGCAGCCATCTCAAGCCAGAGGACGAGAGGACTCTAGCCGCCACGCATATAAAGGATTTATAGTGAAAAACTTTGTTTTTACGGGTTATACTTATTGTGGATCCCTTCGACAAAATCAGCGGGTCACGAAGCATCAGTCCCCTCTCAAAAGAGCCGCCCGCGACCCCCTCGAACTCGAGGGCCAATATCGAGGTCGGATATGGCCACGAGAGGGCTTCAATGAGAGACGCGACTTGTGTCGTTTCTCTCGGATTTCGTGGATTTAAAGCGCACAAACGAATTGTTAGTTACTCTACACGGCGCATGCTCGATTACTTCAACAATCGTTTCACGCCCCTGATGTAGTTGCTGGCCTTTGACGGCGTTGTACCCTGAGAGAGAGAGAGGAGGGGCTTCTTCTTCTTATTCTTCTTCTTGGTTACACAATGGCGAACTTATTTAAAATGTCAGGAAAACTGCCAGAGGAGGGGAGTGAAGAAGCACTCTCTCACTCCTCTCTCTCTCTCTGTGAGCCTTGGCCCAAGGGCTGGGAAGGCGGCGAATGGAGAAATGGCCATGGTGGGAGAAGGGGAGGCAAAGCACCTTTTTAAATAACATCATCATCATCAACATGAACCACCACCATTGTCAATCAAACGGGGCAGCTAGCACCATGTCCCCTCCTCCACCCCTCCCGTGTAGTTTTGACGAAGCGTACAGTCCTCGTCTTTTTATTTGTTTACTTATTATCAACGTTGTTACGTGTGGGTTTAATGTGTCCCTGTGCATTTCGTAGTGTGTGTGTGAGAGAGAGCGACTCAAATCATATAGAAGTGCACCTAGCCTGGCACGGGGGCTCCCGTGGGACGACGCGTCAGCGCCACGTAATGGCGGTGGTTGTTGTTGTTGTTATTTGAATGTTTGTTCCAACATGTGTTGACACATATATTGTATCCAGTATATATTTACGTGATGCTTGTTGTAGGGGATTGTTTTGTTATTGCTGCTATTTTTTTACGATTGTTTAAAGTTGTCCGGCCACATCGTTACAACAACGAAGCCGATTTGCGCTTATTGAGCGTTGCCAGGGCTCAGTTTCGTGTGTTCGTGTTAAATAACATCGTGTACATTAAATGTTTTGTAAAGGTGCTATATGCTCGTATGCTTGACGAAAGTGTGTTACTTGTTGTGTTCACCAAGTGTGGCAAGTGTAGGGTACAGTGTGGAAATATTGACGATCTCTAATGTGTTGTTTGTGTATCTCTGCGCGTACGATTGTCGTTTTTGTGCTTATATTTGTGTAATGTTGTTTGTTGTTACGTGTTGTGTACTTGTGTGTCCTGTGTTCATGCGAGCCTGCGCTTTTACTGTTTGTTAGTTGCTTACCGCCTTTTTATGGTTGTAAAGTTATCGTATTGTTTGTTTACACGTTCGTTTAAATATGTATTGAACACTACATGTGTATCATACAACTTCAACCACCACCGTGGCCCACACGTGCATCTTCCCCAAAGTGACCCATGTTTGCCACTATCATCGAGATGATCATGGTGATCGCAGACACCAACTTCACAATAAACACCAAGCAAATCAACACAACCATACACACCGTGCAGTGCCCGTCTCTTTAAAAGCTTTTCATCGTCGACCGAGATGAGACGAAACAACAACAACAACAGCAGCAGCAGCAGCCTCCTCCTCCATCACCGCCTCGCACGGGACAGGAGACCATCATGAAGAAGACGACGACGACGACAAGAACGCAGCAAGAAGCCAGCAGGAGGAGCAATCGTAGTGGGAGGAACAGCAGGGGAAGGCGTCAATCAGTAGTGTCCCATCCCCCACGTGTGTGTGTGTGTCCCAGGATGGCTAGGGGACCCCCTTTAATAGGGGGGCCACCAATACCACCACCCCCCCCTAAAAACACCTTCCTGTTACTAACCTGGCTTGGCTGAGGCTGGCCGCACTAAAGCAGTCCGCGATTTCCACCACGAACTCTGTGGTGGTCGTGGTTGATGATGATGGTGGTGGTGGTGGTGATGGTGGTTGGTCGCAGGCACGCGTGCGTGTGTGCTCGTGCACGCACGATGGAGGGAGCAGGGTGGTGGTGGGGGGGTGGTGGGGGTGGTGGGGGGGTGGTGGTGGGGGGGTGGAGCTGGCAACGCGGTCACGAGTGGGGGGTTAAGGCGGAGCTTAGAGCAGACTCCGCCTCCTCCCCCTCCACTTGGCTCCTCCTCCTCTTCCACTTGGCTCCTCCTCCTCTTCTTCCACTTGGCTCCTCCTCCTCTTCCACTTGGCTCCTCCTCCTCTTCTTCCACTTGGCTCCTCCTCCTCTTCCACTTGGCTCCTCCTCCTCTTCTTCCACTTGGCTCCTCCTCCTCTTCCACTTGGCTCCTCCTCCTCTTCTTCCACTTGGCTCCTCCTCCTCTTCCACTTGGCTCCTCCTCCTCCACTTGGCTCCTCCTCCTCTTCCACTTGGCTCCTCCTCTTCTTCCACTTGGCTCCTCCTCCTCTTCCACTTGGCTTCTCCTCCTCTTCCACTTGGCTCCTCCTCCTCTTCCACTTGGCTCCTCCTCTTCCACTTGGCTCCTCCTCCTCTTCCACTTGCCTCCTCCTCTTCCACTTGGCTCCTCCTCCTCTTCCACTTGGCTCATCCTCCTCTTCCACTTGGCTCCTCCTCCTCCTCCTCTTCCACTTGCCTCCTCCTCCCCTTCCACTTGGCTCCTCCTCCTCTTCCACCTGGCTCCTCCTCCTCTTCCACTTGCCTCCTCCTCCTCTTCCACTTGGCTCCTCCTCCCCTTCCACTTGGCTCCTCCTCCTCTTCCACTTGCCTCCTCCTCCTCTTCCACTTGGCTCCTCCTCCTCCCCTTCCACTTGGCTTCTCCTCCCCTTCCACTTGGCTCCTCCTCCTCTTCCACTTGGCTCCTCCTCCTCCTCTTCCACTTGGCTCCTCCTCCACTTGGCTCCTCCTCCCCTTCCACTTGGCTCCTCCTCCCCCTCCACTTGGCTCCTCCTCCTCTTCCACTTGGCTCCTCCTCCCCTTCCACTTGGCTCCTCCTCCTCCCCTTCCACTTGGCTCCTCCTCCCCTTCCACTTCGCTCCTCCTCCTCTTCCACTTGGCCCCTCCTCCCCTTCCACTTGGCTCCTCCTTCTCTTCCACTTGGCTCCTCCTTCTCTTCCACTTGGCCCCTCCTCCCCTTCCACTTGGCTCCTCCTCCTCTTCCACTTGGCTCCTCCTCCTCTTCCACTTGGCTCCTTCTCCTCCACCTCGCTCCTCCCCCTCCACCTCGCTCCCCCACCTCGCTCCTCCACCTCGCTCCTCCTCCTCCACTTCGCTCCTCCCCCTCCACTTCGCTCCTCCTCCTCCACTTCGCTCCGCCCAAAGGCAGCAAGCTGCAGTAGCCAATAATGGGCACTGTGCGAGCCCTCCTCCCCCTATGGGACGGGGGCCAACAACAACAACAACCACCACCACCAACTACTACTACCAACCCCCTCCACTAGAGCTGCCGGGTCTCCGCCATGCAACCGTGGACATGTTCTGGTTCATGGACGAGCACCCGACCTGAATTAATGATGACACGTGGCCGTCTCCTGCGGTGGTAAATGTCTCCTAGTTTTCTCACATCAACCACAGCTCGGAGGTTGGTTGTGGTGTTGCAAGAAGAACGACTTTGTTTTTTTTTTGCTGCCGCGTGGGTTGTTTTGAAAGGAACAAGTTCAGTCTTTTACGCGTCCACCCACTCCCCAAACTCGTCCTCTGCGTTTGTAAACATCAAGCGGAAGTTGTAAGGGAGACATCCTGAGATCAGTGCGGACACTGCCCAGCAGGCGGCAGGCTCCGAGCAATTCACAATGGCCATTCCGAGAATCATCGATACAATATTAAGAGATCTTCAAATACTTTTCCGCGTGATGGCCGACCCTTTGGGGGGGGGGGGGGTTGCCACGTGCTAGTTTCCTGAATAATCTCCCTTCATCATTAGACCTCCTTTGCCAGTAACAAAATATAATAATAGGGTTTTCCCCCTTTTTTTCTGGCAAAAAACTGAAACCTTTTTACAAGGATTCATGTCTGCATTAACCACAATACTTGCAGTCAAATGCAAACAAAAACACATATATATGAATCACAGTGCAACCCTAAAACTGCGGAGACCTCCGGTACAGCACAACAATGAACGCCTACGCCAGGGGTGTCCAAACTTTTTGCAAAGAGGGCCACATTTGACTAAAGTGAAGATGCCCGGGGGCCAATAGTTCCTTCTGACATTGTTTTAACCATAAAAGTTACGTGGAAATACACACTGTTATAAAACAATTTTCATTGTCACAATTACCTTTATTCTTCAAATGACAATGTAACCAAATATAAGCCACTCAGGCAGACGAACAACTCTACAAACGCAATTCTGCCTTTCATTAAGTCAGATAACATTTGGACATGCCTGGCCTATGCAGTCGCTGTGTCAGTCGTCCCCGTGACCGTGATAGTCATCACGTCAGTAGAGCCTTTAAAGAAATTACCAGTCGAGATGGCAATACTCAATACACTTGTATTTTTTTTCATAACCATTAAGTGAATTACCGTAGTCGATGACTTTTTTTAAACGAGTGGCGGCATTACGTCTGACTTAAAATGTTTATTTTGCACAACTTAAATTCACGTGGCCAGTACAATTCCAGAGAAAGCGTCACTTTATACGGATTTTTATATGAAACTAAGAACATGGCAGAGATGTATGATATTGATGACTGGTCTGGGCCTATGATCTAATGAAATGCAAAAGTTGGCAGTCAATGGAAATGCAAAAAGTGAGATGTTGGCCATGTATTGCAGTATTCCATGTGAGTATATGCCTAAAATGTTACTTTCATTTGGAAAGTAAGTTTATTGCTTGCCCTGGAACACCGTTTCAATGTACCACTTGCCAATGGAGAAAAAAAACATTGCAATATACAATTGAAAACGTTTATTTCCAATCTTGTCAATAGTGAAAATGGTATTAAATTACTGTATCTGGAAATTCTTAAAAAGCTTCGACGAGAGATACAATGTGGAAAAGTTTACAGCAAGCAAATATAAGCAAGTATAAGCAAATAATAATTTGACATGACAACACAAAGTTCACACCTCCCAAAAATACTGTACTCGAGTTGGATTTGGATGCATGGATGGAAGTTAACTTTCCTGTAGATTTGTCAAAATGACTGTTTAATAGGAACTAATTTTCTTCAGAAAAAATGTAAGCAAGCTGGCATCTCTCGGTGTGGAAAATAAAGACTTTCTAAAATGGCATTCAAGCGAAGGCCACGAGGAACGATAGCATAAACAGGGATGGCTACAAAATCACAGTACTGTACTTACATTTTGACAAAACAGCCCCTGGTTTAATGAGGTAGAATCAATGTTGGAATCTTTACATTTTGAAAGCAACTCTTTAAGGCACCTTAGATTTATGATACTCAAAATTTGTCATTCTAAAGGAATCATTCATTCTTAAACGTTATAAAAAAAACTTTACATTCAATCCCAAAAGTTTCCCCAAACATCTCGTGTATTCATTTGCATATTCTCTAGGCCAAACAAATAGTTTGTGTGCAGATAGCATTAGCGACATTTTACTAATCATAAGCCTCTAAAAGCCACCTGGGCCAGGCGCCTTGGTCAACTTGACGCCATTTTTGTCTGTGCACAGGATAGCCCAGGGGTAGGCAACCAAAACAACAAAAGCCATTTTCTTTGGCATTCTGTAAAAAACAAATACAACTTCTATATTTTCCACGAGCAGTAAATGCATGCGAATAACGACACGAATCAGTCATTAGAGCCGCGGGTGGTTCCAGAGCTGCAGATTGCCAACCCCTGGGAGTGGGATAACCAGGTGACCCTACAGAGAACACATGCATCCGGATCTGGGTAGAGAATGGTGGTCACTGCTCCTGGCAGCATTTACCGGCAGTCACAGTCGCCGATGGTAAACTGGTTTTTCCACTGGGTGATCTTTTTCTATCGTTGGTTGATTTTTTTTTAGCGGTAAATTCTTACAACTGGGAAAACCTGTTTAGCACACTTCTGGTGGTTGCTGGCAAAGTACTGCTAAAATGTAGATCAGGAATACAGTAATGCGTTTTGGTAGCATGTTTAACTAAGCTCTGATTTCATCACATTTATTGCAACTATGTAAAAATAACATTGAAAACATTTTCATCATTCTGTCAAACAATAATCTCCATTACATTTGAGTTGCCTTATATTGTCAATGGTTCTGTACATAACCTTTGGAAATTGTTTTATAAACGGTATAAAAAAGCAAAATATAGAAATGTTAGGTGTAGTATAACTGTTTACCATAAAAATATATACTTTTTAAAGTAAACATCTGAAAGAATATTTTATTCTAAAAATGTAAGCAAGCGGTAAACAGTTCTGGAAAGTTAAGCGCAATAATGGATTAGTTTACTTCAAAATGTGTTTTAAGGCTGAATAAAATGCCATTAAAACAAGGCCCCGATTCAACAAGTCAAATGCACACAGAAATGTGAATGTGCACAAATCATGTAGAGTTTGGAAAAGAACGATAAGCCTTTCATAAGAATAGCTTGTCCGACAGTAAGAATGACGCATCACAGCAGAATGCGAGTCTTCATGTGTGTGATAGTCTATGTGTGTGTGCAAGTCGATGTGTAAGTCCATATGTGTGTGTGCAAGTCGATGTGTGTGTGTCGATATGCGTAACTCCATGTGTGTGTAACTCCATGTGTGAATCTAAAGTCCATTTCTGTGCGAGTCGATGTGTGTGCGAGTCGATGTGTGTGCGAGTCGATGTGTGTGCATGGCTCCATGTGTGTAAGTCCATGTGTGTGTGTCTTAGTCGATGTGTGTGTGTCTTAGTCGATGTGTGTGTGCAAGTCCATAGTGTGCTTTGGTCGATGTGAGAGTTTACGTATGTGTGAGTCGCTGTATGTGTGCACGTCGATTTGTGTATCTAAAGTCGATGTCTGTGTGTGCAAGGCCATGTATAAGTCGATGTCTTTGTGTGTGGGTCAATGTCTGTGTGTGTAGGTCAATGTCTGTGTGTAGGTCAATGTCTGTGTGTAGGTCGATGTGTGTGTCTGTCTCTTTCGTCCGGGCAACGCCGGGTACTTACCGCTAGTAGGTTATAATTATCCATGACGTTAATGACCTCCCGAATACAAAAACTCCCAAAAAATTATGGATTGCAAAAAGTGACTTACAAGGCACTCCTATTTCTAATAGACGTTTTGGTGTTCTTGTTACCATATTGCTTACCTTTGCAATATGCTACAAACTTTAACTAGAAAAATATCGAAACATAAAGCATATATTGTCACCCTATATTCCATATAAACATGTACTTACGGTTTGACGCTTCTTAAGTTTTGCCGGTGGGATTGATGCGTCACAGTATTCCCCTGAAATACTGTAGCTGAGTGGCAAGACTGACGTCAAATTTGAAAGAACATAACCACCTTGTCTGAAATATGACTCGAAATGTTATAACATATCTGCCTGCTAGCTGAATGAGTGTTAAATCGACTCTAAAACGATTTGATTGTTGCCACATATTCACATGAAACCAATTGTATGTACAAATTCGCAAATACAAAGTACATGTTGTGTAAGCATCACTAATCACAGTCAGAAACTGTGCGACCACTTATGCGCAGGTTAACGAAGCATTTTCTGGTGCAAAAAAAACCACTGACAAGTCAGGGTCCAGGTAACGGCAACCACCGATACAAAGACATACAACCACAGGAAAACTAAATACAAAGCCACAAAATGCTTTTACATGCTTCTAACGCATACCACAAAGATAACAGATCACAACAATTTTACGAACACGAAAACGGTCTGCCACATTTGAAAATGGGGGTATTGCCGAAGTTTCTGTAATTGTACGTGGCTTAATGCTTTTCGATTGGTTGCTTTTTAAATTGTCATTAGAATTTACATTTAAAGAAGAATTCAAATAATGGGCTCATGGTAGTAAATTAACCACTGGGAATTTAATGCAATATGCAAACCATTGTCTACATATTAATGTATGCTATTCAGCATCAGGCAAAGAAACACAGACCTCGATTCAGAGTACGGTCCCAAATATTAACAAAAACTACACTTAAGGCAGCAGTCTTAAGAATTCCCTTTGTTCAAAAATGGCTCTACGGCCTTGAGATATGCCATGACCAACCAATATGGCTGAATAAGGTCATCAAGCTGAACTTTCTTTTCACTTTAACACATTTTGCATCCATCAAAAAGCCCAACATGGTATGTAGGTGTTTAAGAAGCTATTACACAATATCAGTTGTATATGAAGGTTCGTGCAACACATTTTTAAATAGTTTTTGGTATTACGCCATGTACAAACTGGGAAAAGAGTGAATTCAAATGACAAGCATTACAAAAATATGCAAGTTAATGCATTCCATGTGTATATAACTATTACGTTTTTATGCTTTAACATTAATACTGCATTTTCCACTGTGCTCCCATTACCAATGCTACTAATGTTCCAAAAGGAAAAAAAGGCATTGCATTACCCAATATTTGGAAGTGCCCATGCACAAACAAAACAATGATCTGACTGACGTTGTGCAGTTAATGTGAGGGGGGGGGGGGTCTACTTATTGTCTTCTAATACTTGCATATGCACGCAACTCGTTAACTTTATTCCGCTCACTTAGAAGTGTTTCACAGCAAAGTGGAGATTGTCCAATCAAACAATTAGTGGGGTAGTGCAGGATCGAAAATGAACACGGAGAACTCTGGATGCCATCTTGATGCTTTTAGAGGTTCGATTAGGTACTGCACAGAAACACTCATGAGTTCACTGCTTTCAAAGTCGCATATTTAGTGCCAGTAACTGCTATGAATTCAGTGATACCATAGACATTGCAGCGATACACTCCGCTCGTCCTGACGCAGTTATCTGGCTTGACCACCTAAATGTGAAATTGAAGTTATTGCCCGGCATCTACGTCAGCTGTACGTACGTACGAAAGAAAGAAGTGATGCCATTTTATGCCACAAAATATAAAAAAAAAATGTGCGGTCAAACCAACTTTTTGGTTTTAACAGTTCGCTTCCTTTGGTACGCATAAACATTTTGTAAAAAAAAGGTGCAATGTAAATACTGTATTTGTGTTTGATCATTGACAAACCTTAGTTTTGAATGGGATTGAGGAAAGAGTATTGTTTTGTGGGAAAGATAATACGCATGTTCAACGCTTTACAAGTAACACTGCGAAACCGAATCAACTACTGGCACTAAATTGAAAGCAAGTTAAGGGCACATCCGTGTTGAAAAAAATAAAGGCATCCTCTGTACATAAGGGGGTCTTGGTCACAGTTTACGAACTCTTTCTTTTCTTGCCGTTGGCTGATGGTCCTGTGGTGATTTTCACAATGCCGTTTTCGTACGCTGTAAGAGAGCATTTCAAATGTTACAAAAAAAATGGTGTTCAATATGTCTAAGTATTTACACGAATGTCAATCTTCAAGTCAACCAGAATGTGCTCGATGTCAGAGGCGACGTGGAGCTGAGCCTGGATAGTGCTTGAATGGGTGACCATCACTCCTCAAAATACAACAAACTTACATGTGTGTATGTTGAACTTCATTCACACCGTACGTAGCAACCGTGATAATTGTAAGTGCAGGGAAAGGACAACGAACTAAACACAGAAAGCAGTTGTGATGCTGTTGCTTTGGCAGTGGTGCAGAAGCAAGATTAACATAACGACTCGCAATCGTCAATGTGTACGTATGTTGAACTTCGTTCACACCGTACTAATCGGAGGTGCAAATTTGCCTTAAAGGGGCAAAATAGGTGACGTTTCGTTTCATAGCACGAGTATGACTATAAAATAATTTTCTTTTAAGGCAGCATTAGTTACGGATGTTTTTTAGTTTTCAAAATACAATCGATGTTGTGTGCAGTAGAGGGCAGTAGAGGGCAGTGCAACAAAATCATCTCTTGTTCTGCACTCCCACACACCACCTTCGCAAACCCCTATTGACCAGCGTGGTGAAGTATGGTCAAATCTTGACTTAAAACTTTCGTGACTGCAGGAATTAATATTATTTGGGTCTTTCGGTAAAGTCACGTAGATGGTTCAAGGAAAATAACAAAAAACTACGACGTTTCGATCACAACACACGCGATCGTCATCAGGAGGAAAACTGCTGAATGCAGACTGTTATAGAGGGTTTAGTCCTAGGGTCATAAACGAAGTGGGTGGGGCTAGTGATGTTAATGTGAGAAATTAGCATGTTAATGTGAGAAATTAGCATGTTAATGTGAGAAATTAGCATGTTAATGTGAGATTGGAGAGCGGCCTCCATGACGAGGGCGCGAAGGTGGCTATGTTAATGTAAGAGATTAGCATGTTCATGGAAGTGCCTATGTTAATGTGAGAGATGAGCATGTTAATGGGAGATCCTTTACAGATGGCATCAGAGAGCCTGGTAAATTTTAGAGAGAGAAATAAGCCGTTTGAGAAAACAAACTTGGAATATTTCTTGGAAATGTAAGGCAATGCAACACAGAGAGTCGGCTAACACAGTTAAACGCATAGCCTGGTTGAGTACGATCTCCAAAAATTGCTAAATTTGAAGTTAAATGTGAAATTTGACAAACAGAGACACAGAGAGAGAGAAAACAACTTATATCCTCCCCATAGAGGTGGTTCAAAAGTTTGTTTTCTAAAACGGCCTATTTCTCTCTCTATAAAATTTACCAGGCTCTCATAGATGGATTTCCACACATCTCTCTGTGTGTCTCCGTTTGTCAAATTTCACACTTAACTTCTAATTTTAGCAATCTTTGGAGATCGTAATTTACCAGGCTATGCGTTAACTGTGTGTTACCTGACTCTCTGTGTTGCATTTCATTACATTTCCAAAAGATTTGCTAAATTTTGTTTTCTCAAACTATTTCTCTCTCTAAAATTTACCAGGCTCTCATCGGGCCATTCCATCTTCTTTCCCTCGGTCGCTTCGGGGTGGATTCATTGACATGCTAATTTCTCTGCTCCAACAGCTGCCCCTGCAGACCCACCTCTCCCTCTCTCTCTATTTAAGGTCTCAACACAGAGGCATTGGGTCTCTGTGTGTCTGTGTTGTCTCTCTCTGCTTGTGTGTCTCTCTGTGTGTCTCTCTGTGTGTCTCCATGTCTGTGTTTTGTCTCTCTCTCAAATTTAGTTCTACCTGATGACCGTTGCTTGTGTTGCAATCGAAACGTCGTACTTTATTATTTAATTTAATTTCTTTCTACGTTACGTTACCGAAAGAACCAAAGAGTAATTCCTGCAGCCACGAAAGCTTCAAATCAAGTTTATGGATTGTACTGTACATTTATTTACATAAACATGTTCCAGAAATCTTTATGATACTTACATTCTCCACCACGACGCTTACAATTATTTTTCGTGGTGTATTGTATAATATTTGTGTGTAACTTAAAGAGGGTTCTGGCTGATGACATCTGACAGTTCACCAGTGATGAATCGAACAGACCTGGCTCTGCTGGCGAGACATGGTTCAGAGCCTGCATGCGCTGAGGGGACTAGTGGCCACGGGAGGTAATGACAGGGAGGACAGCCGACAATACGAGTGCACTAGTGGCCACGGGAGGTAATGACAGGGGTATCATATTATTTGGTTCTGTCGGTAAAGTCATGTAGATAGGAAAATAATAATAAAAAATGAAGTGAAGAAAAATAATAAAAATAAAATAAAATAATTAAAAACAAAAAAAACGAATGTAACAGTAGCCTGGTTCTTAATCGGAGTGAGTGTACTGGCAGTCTATAATATAAACTGTAGCCTGGTTATTAAGTTTGGTGAGTGTACTAGCAGTCTATAATGTATACTGTGGCAATGGCTATTAAGCTAGGTGAGTGTACTGGCAGTCTATAATGTGGACTGTAGCCTGGTTCTTAACCTTAGCCAGTGTACTGGCAGTCTATAATGTAGACTTATTCTCGGTTCTTTTGGTAATAAAAATAAAAGTGCGAAGGGACTGGTGGCTACGGGAATGTTCGAGAAGGGAGCGTGGTCAGGTGATGGAAGAGGACGGTGGAGTCTGCTGGTAGAGGGAGCATCCAGAGTCAGCGAGAATGATCTAGAAGGGGGGCGTGGCCTCGTGTTGGTGTATAAGGGGGAGATGCGCGGGAGACTTGGGGCTGTTGCAGTGGGGATCTCTACCTGATGTCAAATGAACGTGTCTTCAATAAAGTGTGTCAAATCGTCATTACACTTGTACTGAATCACCCCAGCAGCATTGATTGCATAAATGATAATTTATTTTTTACGTGGAGAAGTAGATATATATGAAAGACACAAATTTTCTGCTCATCTATTTTGTCTTTTGATAGAGGTCAACAGTCGAATTTGGCTACATAGCAATTGGGTGTGAATTACTATCACTAATAGCCACATTTCTAGGAAACTAACCTGAGTCTTTCTTGAGTTTAAGTGTAGCTTGTTTCTTCTTGTTTGAAATTGACATCTTGTATTCTCTCCACTGCCTCAGCTGAAATTTAATAAATGTCCACATCATCCAGGCTTGTGTGAGGCAGATCAGTGCCAACAAACAAATCCTGGAAAACAACAGGTTACACGTTTAATGATTTCGCTCATCCAAATTACCAGGAATCTATATTCACATTTCCAGTAATGTAAGGGTCCCCCTTTAGTGGCAGAAATGATACATTCGATTCGAGTTGCAGGAAGTTTTTTGTTCGTTAGATAATGCAAAAATAATGAATGTAAATCAAGTCACATTAAAGCATCTCTTGCCTTATCAGGAGAGTGTTGAAGTTTCCAGCAGCCACATCCAACGTCTGGTTTTCGGAGCGTGCCAGGCCAAAGCCAATAGTGAGGACGGACAGTGTCAGTGTGATGAGACGCGACAGCCCAAATAGCACTGCCCACACCCGGAACCTGCAAAACCAAAGGTGTCGCTCAAGCAACGATGTTTACCAGAAAAATGCAACGCCAACTATGCCAACGATTTCTAAGCCTGCAGCAACCCGCAAAGAGTTGTGCTCAACACAATTAAACATTGTTTTTACTCAAGATAACAAATGATCTCTGGCACTGTGACAAATGCAAAGGTGCAATCAAGCACATTTGCACCTCTGAATAGCACGATTGGCTATGTATGGAGCGAAAGATGTTCAACATACATACATACAAAAACACCACCACGACTCACCCTTTCTGGTAGTTTTCATCGATGAAGTAAAAAATCCGGGAGATGTGAAAAACAAATTCCACCATATAATGCAAGACCATGAGCAACATCCCAAGCCGTGTGAGACTGAGAAGAGAATCCAGAGTGCAAGACAGCACACATGAACATATCTTGCATGAATTATACTTTTCCTCAGAATAATTTTAAACCAATCGACTCAATAATTTTAACGTGGTGTTTTTTCTCATTATTTCCCCCCAATTTGTATGCAATTCAGCTATCAGCATAATGTCATGAGATCAACAATCAATTCACATCTTACATGCCCAAGATGTGTTCAGATCTGTCTAAGGAAAAGTACTTTCCCATCCGCTATGCAACTGAGAGCAATGTTCATCACGTGACAATCAAACCAATATTTTTTAATTCTTAGAACTGATATTTACAACAAAATAGGTGCAGAAATTTAATGCGATTAATTTTGTCTTATCTCTGGTGACTAGGTTGAGACAATCAACTCAATACTGGGAACCCGGATTAATTAGAGCATGGATTTGTTATCCGATCAATTGTTTGTCCAGAAGCAGAGTTGATGTCGTCCATTCCTCCGTTAAAAGGAATGAAGACTTCAAGGCCATTTTGTCACCAGAAATTGTTAACATTATGAATTGTATTACATTTTATTTCAAAATGGCACAACTTATTTAAAGCTATGTGTTGTTCCAACTTACTTAAGTAGATATGCTGCAGCAATATGCATTATGTAAAGGCTGATGTGTTGAAGTTGTTTTGAAATTTCTTCCTGCAAAACATAAACTGTTATAATACGCAGCATATGGAATGAATATACAATTACGTAATGACATTAGAATGTAATGGAGGATGCCTCCTACATCATGGAGAAATCAACAAAATGAAAAAAAAAATGGCTTCCTTACAAAAAACTTACTTTTTTTATTTTTTGAAAGTAGAGCTCAGGCAATGCATGAACCCAGTAAGCCAGCTGAAAAATGTAGTAAAACTTCACATAGCAACTACAAAGACAAAAACAAATGAAAAAAATACACTCAAAGAATCAATGCTGTACTTTACATGTAATTTTGATGTAAGACAAATGAACAATGCACAATCACACAAACGTTTATACGATAAAATATCAAATGTCTTCCATTCCCATAGTTTGCAGACAAACTCACGACATCGTAGTGTGTGGAAATCCTTCCCAAAGTCTTGACAGCTGTGTAGCATATTCTTCCTGAAAAGCAAATATGCAGAAATATAATGCATTCAAAACAGTTACAGTTGAGTCTCATTTATCTGTGGGTGGATTATCTGGGTTGCAGATGAACCTGGCTTGTGCCCATGTAACCACAAACATGCATGCAAGTCAACCAAGTTACTTTGAATGTTTACAGTGTGTGCAGTATTTTTATTACACACTTCCAGTATGGGCTAAGTGTTGAGCATTTATTTTCTGAAGCTTTCACCATGCATTACTGCGGGGCAACTTCTGGCATTGGCTGGTCACTCTGCCCCCCTCCCCTCGATTCTGATCAGATGAGAGCATCCAGTCAGTCAGTATCCAATCACAGCAGTTCTGAGGTCTAACATGATACAGTAAACCCTTATAAATTGGACACATATGGAGCTCTGGCCTTGCCAAATTGTCCAGTATTCCGAAAAATGTACAATGGCACTCCCCAGTGCCTCGTGCCGAAATATTTTATTTTTCCACATTTGTTTTCCAAACTATACGCATTGACACACCTGCATCAATTCTAACCAAAACTTTAGATTTGTCTCGCAGACGAAGGGATTTACAGTCCAGTCCCTTTCTATTACTTCTTGAGGTAGGTGTAGACGACATTTCTGAGAGGGTTGGCTTGCACAGAGTGCATAAGCAAGGTAAGGTCCAAAGCAACGGGTCTGCACCAAAGCTCGCCACGCACGCCGCCACCAGACTGAATCGTTGTTTTCGTCGCGGCGTACGGCGTCGCTCCACGTGTATGCCGAAATTGGACCATTCCGTACGGCAATTCGCCTCACGGCAAATTAATAATACTGTATATATGCCGAAAGCACAGCCGTGCCAATGTACGAATTATCAAATACTGAAATAACGAGGTTTTACTGTCATCTGGACAATCCAGGCAACATATAAGAGTGGAGAACAGGTGAGACGCATAACTTGAATGCCTGCAAACCCCTGCAGAGCTTGAGAGAAGAAATGCTCAAAGTGTCGCCTAACCTGGAAGACTTCGCGTGCATTACAAGCAACTGCGGAAACCTACGTGGCAAGATGGTTTCCTTCTCGCCCGTCTCACCAACTTGTAAGATTTTACTGACCGAAGGTGTGCCATTCATTATACCGTATTGCTAGCTCAGTTGGAAATAGAGACTCAAAATACTGAATATTGCATTTTACCACAATGATGATGTAAAGCCCCCAGAAGGAAAATATCAAGGAGAAGAAGGAGAGCTGCCCCGACTCGTTGTACTTGCTGTGCTTCATCTTGGACAAGTGCAGGCGACGGTGCAGCTTCTACCAACACATACATACACACATCAGTCGTTATAACAACGGCACTCATCATTCAAAAGTAACGTGTTCTTTTACAATTAAAATTTTCATTTGTTATCATGATCATCAGCTATGACGTATCCACTCGAGGTCTCCCCACGTCATCACCATCTTTCATGGTTTTCTGATGCAACGCTCCATAGAGCTTCAACACACAAACTCGTTCCATCACTCCATCTTCACGGTAAGACGCCCTCTAAAGGATATTCCCTCCTTGTTGGTTTCTGACCACCGACCATCATCCTTTCGAGTGACGTGTCCTGACCAAGCCCGCTTAATATTCTCAGCAGACAAGATGTTTTTTAATTTCTCATTTTCTCTACGCCATGTGTTCCTCTTCGTGCCTCTCAGCATGTACCTCTCTCCAGCCTTCTTTGTGCACTTTTTAAATTTTTGTTCCAGTTTCTTTGTCAGTGTCCATGTTTCTGATCCATGTCATAGCAGGTGACATAAAATAGTTGCAAACTTTATTTAAGCACATTGGCATACTGTTTTTCTTCATTAAGTTCACTTTCCCAAAAGCCTTCCCAACCTACTCTCGGTCACCTCTTAATGTCCTCATTCATATCTCGGACCACCTTCCAACATATTCTTGGGTTTTTTCGGTAAAGTAACGTAGGTAAAAAATTACAATTAATAAAAGTTAAATAAAATAAAAATCACGACGTTTCGGAGGCAACACAAGCCTCCGTCTTCCCACAATGTACGAACTTCGATGTGCTTTTCTGTTGTGTCTTTCTGACACATTTTCAATTGTTTATGTACGTATGTATCTTAAACTTCTTTCACAATATATGTAGCCAACCACACTAATCGGAGGTGCGGGGGGGGAAACCAATTAAACTTGTTGCATGTCACTTTTGTTCTGAATTATCCGTCATAACTGTATATTGGATTTTATTTTGCTCATTTATTGTTTGTTCATACTTATGAATTACAACTTTGTCATTTTCATTCTAGAAAGCATTATGACCGATGAGCATGAATAACAACTAAGTGGCAGCCAAAGAAGGGCGGTCCAACATGAAGACGGAGTGATGGGATCATCAATCAGCGTAAGGGATGGCAACGGTTTGGAGAGGCATCATCCAGCAGTGGGTTCATCATGGCTGGTGATGTTTTTTTTTTCCTTTTAATAAGCAAATTATAATCACGAACAAGAATGTAGGTTTGCGACATGTTTGTGGTAACTTACATCCAGAATATACTCTTGAACTGTACCGTGGATAACAATACCCACAATAATGTAAAAGAAAATTGTGGCAAAGTCTTTCTTTCCATACTGGTAAACACTGCTTGGCTCTCCACTTCCATCTGCAAAAAAAAACAAGAAAATTGAGACATTTTGGAGCCTGTATTGGTAGATTAAACAATCGCAATTGTCAGAAAACTGAATTCTAAGCACATGCCATTATTTTCAAATTCACTGAATGAGGCACGTATACGATTTAGACATTACATAAAGTCAGCTTGGAATCTTACCTTTATTTCGCCTTTAAGTTGTTGACTTTAGTGATTAAAAAAAACCAGTTACGTAGTTAATTAGTACCACACTGATAATAGGTTTTCCCCCTTTTTTCTGCCAACAAAATATGTGTTAAGTTGTTAAAACACCAAACTGAAACCTTTTACAAGGAATCATGTCTGCATTAACAACAATACTTGTGGGTCAAAATTCCAAAAGGCGTCCGCTGGTCTAGCACTGTTTAAAACGAGGCTCAAAAGAAAACTGTCTCTGGTGTGGACCAATCATTTTCAAAGACAATGCATATATTATCAGAGTATGTTTTTTTTTGCATTCTGACCACAAGTATTGTGGTTAATGCAGACATGATTCATTGTAAAAGGTTTCAGTTTGGTGTTTTAACATCTTAACACCTGTTTTGTTGCCAGAAAAAAAGGGGAAAACCTATTATCATATTGTGTTACTGGCAAAGGAGGTCCCATGATGTAGTACCACACTACTAGACATGTACGAAATGCTTGTAAATCGATACACATTCACAAGATTATTGCACGAGGTATTGATTAACTCCGAAAAACACCAGGAACTACCATGGCGCTAACTCGGGTACAATTAAGAAGAACATGTGACCAACCTTCATCTTGGGTTGTGATGTTGTGTTGGATGGACATGAACATGAAAGCAGTGTTAGCAGTTGCCTGAAATTGACAAACAAACAAACATTACAGATTCACTCACTCCAAGCGACCAACATCAGATCTACTGGCCTAAATACTCTTTTAAGTTCTGCAAAATGGAGACACATGCTGTTAGGTCTTGCATTAAGATGACCTTACTTTGCCATTAATCAGGAACGGTGAGATGTCACTACTCAAATTATTGCTATTTAGGCAAGGATTGATATAATTACATTCTTTAAATTCAACAATCCTCATGCGGATTTATTTCGATATAATGATAAGAATCGCCACATTTAATGATGTCTATAAAACAAAGTTGTAAAGTTTCCATGTACGTAAATAATTTCCATATTCCAATCAAATTTTTAAACGTTTAGCCATATCCAGATTGAGGGAATATACATAAATCAGTGACCTGCACTGACAATAAGTAGTCTGAATTTCTTGTTAAATTACCTTAAAACATATTTGAATTGGACACAAACATTTCGGCAGTCTTTCTACAACGCAGCATAATCAATGTTTCCAAGGCCAAAGCAGATTCCATGAAGAGTTACCTTGTCACTTACGTGTGTTCTGTCATTCATTTACTGTGTGGACTGGTGGACACATATCTTTCCACCTTATCTAAATCAGCTCAAGCCTCCGGTACATCACGTGACCTCTGTGTGTCCAGGCCCACTTTGAATTCCTGACCTCTCCCCATCCTAGATTTGAAGTTTTCGTGACTGCAAGGATTCATACTCTTTGGTTTTTTCGGTAAAGTCACGTAGGTAAAAAATAAATAAATGAAAAAAACAACTAAATTAAATCACGACGTTTCGGAGGCAACACAAGCTTCCGTCTTCAGTTGGAAACGTTACAGCCAAATTCACTGTGGTAAGTTTTTACCTACGTGACTTTAGCGAACCAAAGAATATGACTAACTCCCCGTCCTATTTGAATACAGATGCTGCTCCGTGCAGCAGTGTAAAGGCTCTTATGCAAGCCTCTTCCTCCCCCATCCTTGACTGTGCTGACCTTTGTGCTACCCGCTGATTTCCCCCACTCAATTTCCATCTTTTCCCTCTACATTTCCCGTTGTTTCTCTTATCTCTTCCCTTTCCCATTCAATGTTCTTTCTCCATGCATTCTATCATTGACTATACTCCCCTTTCCGTGGTGTGCCGCGGATACATAGTTGCGAGGACAATATATTGGAGTGCAACTCGAAAACGAGAACACGTTGTATTGGCAGTACATTTTATATGTTATGTTATTCAAAAAATGTTGCATACTTTAGCCCCTTAGTATTAGTTAGACTTTGTACCTTTAGTATAGTTAGACTTGTACACCACTTATTTAAGATTTCAGATTCCTATATGTTGAATCTATGCACCTTCCTGCCAAAGTAAATTCCTTGTCTGTGCGAAATTTCATGGCGAATAAAACCCTTTTTGATTCTGATTTGAGTATCCTAAACAAAAAAAAGTATGTGTACTATGTAGTTATCATCCTCAGCAGCCGTGGTCAATCCACTGCTGAATGAAGGCTTCCCCAAGCCCGCCACCTCTTATGAACCTGCGAAGTTTGTATTTAACTAGCTTCTGCATCTCATGAGGCTGTACAAAAAAACCAAGAAACATGCTATTTGGAATCACACTACAGTGCATATGTATGGTTACCCAAGGTGAAAAGTGTCACGGGGTGTGCAAAATGCTCATTGAAGATAAACAAGCTACGTCAGGCTCTGACGCATTTCAAGTTACAAAAAGTCCTGAAAGAGTGGTACACTTATCTAAGTGTAAGGGTCACGTACAACGCAATTGTAAACTTTCGGTTCTGTAATCTATGTCCCGACTCGACAGCTACACAACCACTGAACGAGTCAATGGCAAACACTTGGTCAATTATTATGACATTAGTTAACTTTAATGTGACTGTTTAAAAAAAAAATTCTAAACAAAAGTTACCCAAGTCCTCTGTGCGCGGCTAAATTGCAAGGAAGTTAATATCAATAAAGCAGGCAGTACTCTGCGTTTCCAGCCAACAACCCTAGAGGGAGAGTGGTGGCATTGGGTAAGCAGATAGGCCAGATAATTCCCCATTGCTCCAACTCCGTCTGACAAGAGTTGTCGTTTTGGAAAGGAACGGTGGTGATGCCAATAATGATATGGCAACAAACACGTTGAGGTGCTAGTTAGAGTGCTGCATCGTGGTAGATGGTGGCGGCTTGGGGAAGCTTTCATCCAGCAGTAGATTGGTCGTGACTGCTGTTGAATGATGAAGCATAGAATGTGGGAAGACTTATAACGACGTAATTATTTATGCCAAATGGGGAGGGAGATGGAAGATCTAGACATACACTGGTAGTTCAGTTCAACTGGCACTCCCCTTACTCTCCACTAAACTCTTTCAAGACGTTTGGAGAGCATGGAAGAGCAGGCCAAAAACAGCATTTAAGAAGGGTTCTCTCCAGAGCTCCCTCTAGTGGAGGCCCTTTCGTCAAACAGTGACGTTACCAAGCGATTGCAGGGCCGCACTTTCACCATTTACGCCACCCAATTCATTGGATTTGGCTTCACTTTGTATTAAACAAATATGTTGAACATTACCAATGAGCTTGAAATGCACATATTTGACAACAATTGTAACCTGACACTACAATGTTTATGATTTTAAAAAAATTAAAGCACAAAGAATATCACAATTGTTTAGCAAACCCTGCGTATGCGTCGGTGCTGTTGAAATGATAGCGCCTCCTTCGACTGCACTCTCTGAACAAGGTATAGATTTCAGATTTCACTTATTTCAGGACAATGCTGGTGATGACCGATTACAATAGTGCACCTTGCACACGACCAATCGAAAAGGATCGTAAAAACCAAAATAGTAAACAAGTAGTCACCGGTCTGGGTGAAGAATAATTGCCAGGAATCAACTCACTTCTACCCAAATGAAACCCGGCCCATAGGCGATGCCCTAAATCAGGGGTCGGCAACCTACGGCTCCGGAGCCGCATGCGGCTCTTTACGGGCTGCTTCTTGACGATGAGTACGTATGTACTCAGATGCATTGCGGCTCTTGAAATACTGAATTTTGTACCGAATTGGAAAGAAATGGCTCTTCTTGTTATTTTGGTTGCCGACCCCTGCCCTAAATCATTTAACACACCAAATAACAGACAACCGAGATACAACGAATACCAAGGGAGCAATGCTGTGATGGTGAATCGATTGCGTTCTCGTTAAACACCGTGGAAAGCCACTAGCCTGGTATTAATTTCCAATTCGGAGGTTTTTTAAATCCTTTATATTAAGTTCGCTTGCTTGCTTGCGTGCTTGCGTGCTTCCTTGCTTGCTTACGACCGTGCAAATCTTTCGCTCGTTTTTTTACCCCACTTCCCGTGATCCAATCGAGCTGACCTTTTCCACACAGACTCGTTGTGCGTGACAATTCATTTTCGTGAGAAAAAACATTCCAAAATTTTACACTGTTTAGGGAATTTTTTTTAAATATTTAATTTAAAATTGCTTAATGCTGGCAGACAATCATCTGACCCATAGGTGGCAGCCATCTCAAGCCAGATGACGAGAGGACTCTAGCCGCCACGCATATAAAGGATTTATAGTGAAAAACTTTGTTTTTTACGGGTTAATTTGTCCTCTCCCTCCGCTTCGCTTTTCCAGTGACGTGGCAGCGTGGGCCAGGGCGGGTTAACGGAGACACCGTGCGGGCCGTGGTCTCCAAACCCTGCACACCCCCCTCCTCTCCTTACCCTGCCATCGTTACATTAACATCGTTACCTTGAACCCGTTACCATGCTCTTCCTTACCATGCCCTCGTTACCATGCCGCCGTTACTCTAGCTTCGTTACACAAGCATCGTCGTTACTTTAGCCTCGTTACCCTATTATAACATCTCTTCCCGGGGTCTTGTCTCTGCAGATTGGACCCGATTCTACCCAAGTGCCCTGCCCTGAACTGGGATCCCAGGCCAGACCCAATCAACCCAAGGCAGACCACGACCTCGCCGCAGCAACATCCAGACCCGGTCCCCACATTCAATCCAAACCGGGACGCAATCCGAATCCAACACAACTTACATCATTACACAATCAACTCAAAGTCGACTTCGACCTAACACGACTCCCGAGCCAGACGTGATGACACATCCTCCGTGAATGTCTGTGCACCCAACCCCCAGACAGTTGTGCTTAGACGTGATTTGAAACTTATAAAAAAGAAAAGTTACGGTCGTTCCCGAAACAAAGTGAAAGTCGCGTACAACAAACTCTGTAGATGAAGTCCAACGACCCAGTTCATTTGACCAGGATCCCAACTCACATTTAGTGGAGTGAATTTCAGCCAAAGTTCGACTCCGGGTTAAAGCGAAGTTGGGGGTCGTTGTTAAGTCCCCGGGGGCCCCAGGCCCTCAGGGCCCTCAGGGGCCCTCCTCTGCTGGCCCCACAGCCCCCTTCGAACCCCTCGTACCTCGAACATGACCCCGAAGAGGAAGGCGATGACCACGAAGATCATGATGTCCGCGTGGTTCTGTATCACGAAGTCCTGGCTGAAGAGCGGTGGGCTCTTGCTCTTCTTCCTGAGGCCCATGGCTGTCGAGTCGTCTGGCTGCCTGGTGAGAGCGACGATAACTTTACAGAGGAGACGGAGCTGCTGATGATGGTGATGATGATGATGTAGAGGAGGGTGAAGCTGCTGATGATGGTGATGATGATGTAGAGGAGGGTGAAGTTGCTGCTGATGATGAGATAGGTACTTCTGGTGGTGACAATGGGCTACTTCAGATAATGATCATCAGCTACTTCAGATGACGAGTTGTTGCTGCTACTGCTGATGATGATGATGCTGGTGATGATGATGATGTAGAGGAGGGTGAAGCTGCTGCTGATGATGAGATAGGTACTTCTGATAGTGATAATGAGCTACTTCAGATGATGAACATCAGCTACTCCAGATGTCGAGTTGTTGCTGCTACTGCTGATGATGATGCTGGTGATGATGATGATGTAGAGGAGGGTGAAGCTGCTGCTGATGATGAGATAGGTACTTCTGATAGTGATAATGAGCTACTTCAGATGATGATCATCAGCTACTTCAGATGACGAGTTGTCGCTGCTACTGCTGATGAAGCTGACGATGAAGTTAAGCTGATGATGACATTGAGCTGCTGACGATGAGGTTGATGATGATGTTAATCAAGTGGAACTACTCCTGGCGATGATTATAAAGTTGATGCACGAGTTGAGCAGTTAGTACAACTCGAGGAGGTTGGAAATGCTGCAGCTGCTAATGAGCTGCTGATGATGAGGTGGTGATGACGACGAGGTGCTGCTGCTGCTGAGCGGATTGTGATAATGAGGTGGAGCTGCTGATGAGCTTGATGAAGAGGTGTAGCTGATGATGTGGTGGTGTAGCTGCTGCTGATGAGATGGAGCTGCTGCTGATGAGATGGAGCTGCTGCTGAGCTGCTGATGATGTGGAGCTGATGATGAGGTGGAGCTGCTGCTGAACTGCTGCTGATGATGATGATGAGGTGGAGCTGCTGCTGCTGCTGCCTCCTCCTCCCTCCTCGCCGCGTCAACGCAACCTCCCCCAACACCGGGCCCCGAAATGAGCATTGGATGTAGCGGCGGCAGCGGCTAGATGTTGCAACGTGGCAAAGTCGTGATCAACAATTCCACGTTCTTGTGCTGGGGACCAGTACGTTATACAATGCAGTATATGCATTAGAACCCCACCCCACACCTACCCACCTCACCACCACCACCACCACCACCGATCCGCGATGAACTTAGCGGACTAAGATCGTGGATATTGTCCACCGCGGGTTTTATTCACTCCGCTTGTGTGGAAACTAAAATGTAGAATAGGAAGAGACGCGGATTATAGGAAGATAAGTGGAACTTTCAGCGTCCACTACGTTATTACGCCCGCAGTATTAATCAGGGCGGCCGCCCGGGTTATAATCTCATCTTATCTTAACGCAATTTATATGGCGTCCTAACCAAGGCGCTGTACAAAGCATTGACAATGGTAATGTCTTTTTGGGTTAGATCGCGTAAAATATATAAATGTGTCGTTAAACCCGCCACCACCCAACACGGCCAACTAGTAAGGGTTGTCACGTAAACAACGTGGCCAATTCGTCACTAGTACAGCACTAGTGTGTAGTGTATAGTAATGTAGTGTATAGTATAGAGTACTAGTACAGCACTAGTGTGTAGTGTAGAGTAATGTAGTGTATAGTGTAGTGTACTAGTACGCACTAGTGTGTAGTGTAGAGTAATGTAGTGTATAGTAGTGTTTAGTAGTGTAGTGTATGGTAGTGTATAGTGTAGTGTATAGTAGTGTATGGTAGTGTAGTGTATAGTAGTGTAGTGGTATAGTAGTGTATATTCGTTTATAGTGTAGTGTATAGTAGTGTATAGTGTAGTGTATAGTAGTGTATAGTGTAGTGTATAGTAGTGTATAGTGTAGTGTATAGCAATGTAGTGTATAGTGTAGTGTACTAGTACAGCACACCGGTTGTGTGTTGGAGAGCCAAGCCACCACATTTACAATCAGAGTACGACGTTTCGCCAGTAATTACAACCAGCTTCATCAGGCGACAGCCAGATTTGTGGATGACATTGGTCACGAAAGCCAACGTGTCAAACTGACTAAACCTTCATGGAATGACTCGCTCCGACCGTAGGAGTGTCAAAAATCCCCCTCTAGCACCATGGTTAGTGCGGCTAATATGTTAGCAGTGGCACAACACTAAAAACACCGCTGATGCCAGGTCAACATTGTTCCCGATTAACGCGGCAGACGGATAGAGTTCGCGGGCGTGCATGAAATTAAGTCGGTGGTCGTGTTCTCTCTCTCTCTCAGGTCACCCACCACTGTGTTTAACTATTCACGAGTTATCGATTTGCATGACAATTGCAACAAGACCTGTTCTTCAGGAAACAAAGCATTCAAATGTGATTCTCATCAAGCCCCAACGCTGTTAATAAATGCAGTCTCCAACTGTTAAACAGCCTGCAAATTTGCGCTCTGAAGGCGGCTCATTGCCCGAAACGTCGCCTTGTAGTACATAATCTTTCCCTTTGAAGTCCCCACCACACAGCCAGTATCTTGAGGACTGCCCCAGTGGAGTGGCAAGTGAGCGGCTTGGCCGCGCATCGACTCGCTGCCCTGCAGCGCGTTCATGTGCCGGGGCCGCCTCGCGGGCCGTGTTCACGCGGCACGTTGCGCATGCGCATTGAGCCAGTGGAAGGGCGCGAGGGGCGGGGTTCAACGAAAGCCCCCAAACACACACAATAGGCCACGCCCACAGGGACAGTTGACCAATCAGCGTGGTCTGAGGGGGCACCCCCACCCCCACCGTCCTCACAGCCCCCCACCCCTCCGCCCCCCTCCTCTTTTGGGGTTGGAATTCTTAGCATTGTTGATGCACGCCTCAAGGTACACAGGAGCCAAGCTTGCAAGTTTATTTTTTATATATTATTTTAGCCAGGTGAGAAACTTGAGAGACCACGATGAGTCTCGTCTGTAAGATGAGCCCTGTGGGTCACCAACATTCCAAAATTACAAAATAAAAACGCTAAAAAAAATCACGGTACAGCGATGAAGCGAATTTAAATATTTATAAAAACAACTGCGTCATCACGTGAGAAGTGGAGAAATATTGTATAAGGATAAATCGATATAAAAAATACATTCCCTTGAGCGTAAGTCAACTCGGGCGGGTTATATTTAAACTGATCAATCTTCTTGGTTCTTTCGGTAAAGTCACGTAGAAGGGAAATAATAAAATTATAAAAAATTTAACATAAAATAAAATTCTCAGTGAGAATAATTCTCACTAAGAATTGTATTTGATTGAGTTTTATTTTTATAATTTTATTATTTCCCTTCTACGTGACTTTATCGAAATAACCAAGAAGATGAATCCCTGCAGTCACGAAAGCTTTACATCGAAATTTAGACTGATCAAGCCGACTTTACGCAAACACAGACATTGAGAAGATCGAACACCGAGAAATCGATCTCAGGGGCCGTCCATAAATGACGTCACGCACCTAGGGGGGGGGTCAGACATTTGTGACGATGGGGGGGGGGGGGGTGAGAAATCTGACGTCACATTAAAATGCGCAACTTTAAATAAATATAGACAACACGTTCTGTTTAATTAAATAGACTTTTGAATAAATGTGTTCTCCTACAACATCAGAGTGCAGCGCCACATTAAATACGCACTACAATGACAATAGTTTAAAGCGATTTGAAGCATGTTTTATTTTTGGGGGGGGGGGGGCAGAGCTTTGTGACGTCATATTTGAGGGGGGGTCTGACTTTTTGCGACGCCGTGTGACGAGGAGGGGGGGTCAAAAATCGTCCAAAATCGCGTGACGTCATTTATGGACGGCCCCTCACGTTTGTGTGTACACATTGAGTGGTGTGTGTGTGTGTGGCAGAACACACGGTGGGACATGAAGAGTGGATGTCCTTTGGGTGTACTTTCCCCCATCATAGGAATGTGGAGTCTACACCACTGACTCAAAAATGAAAAATGTCGCAAAAAAATAAATCAATTATCACCCCATGTTCAAAATAACATGCATGTGTATATTATTTGGGGGTGGCGAGATGATGCAGAGGTTAAGATCGTGCCAATATTGCTGTTATAAATGTATTACTATTTCATATCGCGTAATTTGATGTGGCAATTGTAAGGTTCATGGCCAAAACTAATGTTGGTTCGTTCTTCACATGCCTGGGTTTTGGATTACCCTCCCATCGTCCCTCTTGCCCAAGTTCTTAAAACATTGCTCAATTCAAGATTTTCCAAAAAGCCACACAACGTAACGAGTACTCTTTGGTTCTTTCGGTAAAGTCACGTAGGTAGAAAAAATAATAATTCACGACGTTTCGATCGCAACGCAAGCAATTGTCATCAGGTAGACGATTTGCTTGCATTGCGATCGAAACGTCGTGAACTCTTATTTTTTCTACCTACGTGACTTTACCGAAAGAACCAAAAAGCATGGATTCCTGCAGTCACGAAAGCTTCAAATCAAAACGTAACTGGTATTGGTCAATTACTTCTGGAAAATATCCTGCACGTGTTCGTCGATTTGGATGACACACACGGCGGTTTGACATCGCCTCTAACTGCAACACTTAGTAGGACACTTCTGAAAATGTATCTGGAGACATGGCGAGGCTTTCCTGGGTAAACAAGCAAAATTATAAACATTACAAATGTTAACTCTTGTCTCTTGTACCTTCAATAGAGCGGCTTGTTGCTGACTGCTTGGAGTGCTGGGATTCTGGGCCTGTTCTCAGAAACTGTAACTGATGAAATAAAATACATGTTTGTTGTTCCGTAATTGTAAAATTTTCGTTTTTACCGTTTTAATCCCATGTGTCCTTTGGAAATTTACTTATCCAAGTTCTCCCCCTGCTAATAAAAATGTCCGTCTGGTATAAACGTTTGTTTTGTTTTTATCCCAGCAGAGCATAAATACTCGATCCACTACCAAGATTAGAATATAACAGTCATCACAGCAGTCATATGCTCAGCAGAATTCCAGCCCAATTACTTTGGTGTTGACCATAAATCCCCAATGAGAGACTGCAGGGGAGATTTGAAAAAAAAAAACGGTTCTCAAATCAACACAAAGATAATGGCCTTCGCCTGCATGCCATGCTGTCTGCTCATGTAGCTGTGAACTCTGTAGGACCAGCTGACAAGCAGGGTCCAAGCACAGGATTTGTGTTGAAGACGACACCTTTCCCAACGAAAGGTAAACAAGACAACTAGGAATTTTAAATACCTTTGGCCGACAACCACACGAGCTGAAACGCAACTTTGATTCCACGTGGAGGTTGTGCATCGATTGCGAGCTAACATTATGAACATCATTGCCAAGTGGAACATGTGCCCTGTTGTTACCTGATTAGCACTTTGAAGATGCTCGCAGTGCCGGATGCATATCGTGTACGGCCGTTTCAAAGTGGAATGCCTCGCATGGCCGTCGTGATGGAGGAAATGAATTTGTGGGCCGTCTGAAATAAAGTTGCAGGTAAGTACGAAATGGAAGCCACGGGCCAAATTAAATAAAGTCACGGGAAGTTACGAAATGGAGTTCCAAATGATGGCCAGCGAACAAGTGTCTTACCTTTCGATTTAAAGCTTTCGTGACTGCAGGGATTCATCTTCTTGGTTCTTTCGGTAAAGTCACGTAGAATGAAAATAATAAAATAATAAAAATAAAACATAATAAAATAATTCTCACGACGTTTCGGCCACAACGCAAGCAGCCGTCCTCAGGTGAAGAACATATCGACAGACCTGTTCTTCACCTGAGGTCGATAAGACAGACTCTGTCTTATCAACAGACCTGTTCTTCACCTGAGGACGGCTGCTTGCGTTGTGGCCGAAACGTCGTGAGAATTATTTTATTATGTTTTATTTTTATTATTTTATTATTTCCATTCTACGTGACTTCACCGAAAGAACCAAGAACAAGTGTCTTACCGTTTTGTAGTGAGCATACGAGTACTATTCACGAGCCATGTCATTTGTCTTCTTGCTCCGAGGCAAG